CTAATATTCAATGATTATAATTTATTAAATTGGAATCGTAGTCACGAACCAATATTTTCTAAGTCTGATGAATTGGATCCTGATTACGATTCCATTGTAATAAATGCTAAACATGGAATATTAGTGTTTGAGTCTTTTATATTATATTCTTGCTCTGTTCTGGACACTTAGTTCTGCCAACAGCTTCTCCGAGTATTGTAAAAATACAATTACAAATTAATTAGACATACCTGGTTGCTTCTTTTTAATCAAACTTGTTTGAATAGATACTTTTTGCTTAAATATATGTAGGGAAGGTAGCTGTATAAATCTGAATAGGTTAAGATTATTGATTGTACAAAGCAGCGTTGGGAGAAGCTGCTAGAGTGGAACTTACACCTAACCAATGGAATAAAAAAGAAATGAGGGTGATTCACTACAATGTGCGTGGTATACCAGGTCTCAGCCCTGAAGGTTAGAAAAGCTGGGCATAAAGAATGTAGTTCGTCTGAACACTTTTTTAAAAATTGGATTTACCCCAAGCAAGGCAGTAAAGCCACTGTATATATGTATAGCTAGCTACTCGTATTCGAAGATACCCGTCTATTAGGGCGGCAATTCAATCCCATTTTGTTTGTTCCACACATTTGTGTTTGTTCCACTTGTAACCAAGGTCTGCAGTATAAAACACAAGTGGGATCTTTATCTCACCTGTGTTTTATAATGCAGACCTTGGTTACAATTTCAGGTTAAGGGCGTGTTATCTAGCGTGATCAACAATTTTAACAAGGCCTGCAGGCTCAAGTGCTCGGCCGCGATGAATTATGACTTCTTGCTAGCACAGAATGGTTCCGTCTACACAATTTCACTCACAAGGCTTGGGTAAAGCCGTGGCATGGTTTACAAGCACTTTTCAAATGTGACGCACGCTGAGATCGCCCCCTCCAGTCTGATGTCTCCTTCCTGGCAAATTGACCATGGTGAGAGTCGAACCTCGGTCTCATGGTCAGAAATAAAACGTTCTATCCACTCGGCCACTAAGACACAAGTGTTTACTAGGTGTGAAAGAATCTGAAAGTAGAAGCATTAATAAGGAACGAGAAGAATAATCAGGAAGACAGTAGATAACGATTGACATTCCCTACACATTTTTTAATATAAAAAAATGAATGGAAAGCATGGAGTCGGAAGAATGTTCCACAAGCGAGAAAAGTAACCCTTAGCATTGAACTTACGGCTACATCTAGCCAATTCAACTGGAAATTGATGAAACCATGATTCCAATCTAGAACTGCGCTCAAATTCATAAACTCTACGTATCATATCGAAGAGCTGATCCGAATAATTACCATGAAAATATTTCTAGAAAAAGCACAGGGAAGCAACCTTACGGTGGTAGGAAAGTGACTGAAGCAAATATGCCAGGTCAGGAAGAATAATATAGCTGATTCTTCTTTGAAATTAATTAAGAATGTCTAAATATATAAGGTGCACGGGACTATATGTAGAAGCAATATTCTAAGCATGGACGAATGGTAGACATGGATATGTAAGATTCTGTAGAAACAAAATCTAGCACAACACATTGAGCCAAATTTCTTAGCTGCTGACCTAGCAAGTGATTCAATTTAGTATTTCCACTTCATGCCAGCCGAGAATGTTAATCCGAGAAGGCCCAACGTGTCACTCTCCTGGAGGTTAGCATCAGCCATATTGATGGAAGGTGGTCTCTCAGATGATTAATAGAGAGCAGTTTTGTTTAGGAGGCGTCAACTTTAACAAGCCATTCTATATCCCAGTTAACAGCAGACTGTAGATCGTTTTTGAGATCATCCGCCAATTTGACATTATCGAACTGATCAAACTTACTATCGATGTAGGATTTGTGTCATCAGCATAGATACAATGTTGAGAGCTGATCCTACCGGGAATGTCATTAATTAAAATTGAAAACAAAGTATGACCAAGTATAGAATTCGGTGGGGACATCTACATTATTACAAAAGGATCGAGAAGCGTGGCTGGTCATTCAATGTCGTAATTTAAATATTTTGAACGCATTTGTAGGACTTCAAACTCCAGAAAAAATACTATTAGCCATTTTACTATGAAATTTATTGTCGGTAATTTTAATATGAAATGTATTGCTGTTAAAATATTTCATATAAAAATGTATTGCTGGTATTTTTTTACTATAAAAATGTATTTTTATAGTTTCATAGTGTTTTGCTTTTGCTTGCTGGGTGTCACTTTTTCTTCATAGCTGGGTCTATGACAGGTGCTATCAGCCCGTGTCAGGGTGTACCGGTGAACAACAGCAATTAAGATGTGGTTCCACGCTTCGCAAAACATCCCGATCAGAGGTCTTGCGGCTGAATATATATATATATATATATATATATATATATATATATATATATATATATATATAGTGTAACCTGGATATAAGAAAACCCGGATATAAGAGACTTCTTCTTCGGTCCCGACAACTCTCTTATATCCGGGTTACATATATATATAT